TACCTACTACAAAACGGAAACCAAAAGTAATTAGGAAAGAAAAAGAAAAAAAAAAAAGTTGCTGAGCAAAAGTGGTTCTTGTATTACTTCTTTAAAAAGTGAAGATCATATTGTTTCAGGTATCTATAATACTTCCAAGGCAAAACTGACTTGTAAAAATACATATTTTTTTTAGCTCAAATTTGAGATATGTTCATCTAACTAAAATATACTGCCTCAAATGAATCTTTTTTAAGCTTAGGGTTTTTGTAGAGAAGCTCTAGATCTAGTTCTCATGGTTATGATAACGTTTTTGTGAACATTTTAAAATATTTTCTTACCTGATTTTTGCATAGAGTTTAGGTAAGCTTACACTTTTTTCTGATATAGTCTTTCAACTACCTACACCCTCCTTACACTAGAAATCTTGAATATGAAAAAAAAATCAGTTTCCAGTTTTTGTGAAATTAATATTAAATAATTTTTCACTCTGAAGCCAGCTAGTGATTAACTTAATCCTATTCAAACTTACAAATTTAATTAAAAATCTTTTAGTTTTCATAATAACGTTAGCTGGTGAAGAGCAAAAAAGATTTCCTTGTTTAGAGTTTTGTAGGCAAGAGGTAATTCAAAACAAAACAGACTGTACCCCTAACACAGAATCAGTCATCTGAGACAAAGAAAATTGATCCTGCCCTGGACACAGGTGTTTTTTTTTAATTGTTTCATTTTGTTTGTTTTCATCTAAGTTATGCCTTGGATTGAAATCTCAGTGTATTTGACAATTTGTGGGTGGACTGAACATTTATGTGCTGCAAATTGCTGCACCAGAATCCCAGATGAGAAGTCTGTGAAAAAGTCGTCTTTGAGGAAACAATTTTTTGACTTGCATGTTGATGAACAGATACTAAAGAAGTGATCTGCTTGACAGTATTGTTTAATTGTTTCTTTTTAATATTATTTGAGAGCTCTAATTAAGAGGTTTGGTTTTCAGGTTGGTTAAAAAAGATGATAATGAATTGAATGTACTCAAAATAACATCCAGAGGTGAAATCATGGTTACTCCTGGGGCAAAACTAAAAGTAACAGCTGAGAAAGGTACGTTAAAATGATGTGAAATAAAAATACATTTGCTTTTTCTTTTTTTTTAATTACATAATGCATGTATAAACTTTTAAACTGTGTTCCTTGTTAAATATAGTTAATTCAGGCCCAGTCGTATGAGTACTAAATGTCTAGAAAATATGTTGGTGGCTTCTGTGGGAAAGTTCTACTCTTATCTAGAATTATGCAGAGGGATCCATCCTTCTGTAACTGCAACTTTCTTGAAATAAAAATACTGTTTTGTCAACTTAGCTTTTTTTCTTCCCCTGAAAATACTCATTTGATCTATTTAAAGATAGAAAGAAACTGCTTTGAAAGAGACTAAGCAGACAGTTACTTAGGTCTTTCAAGAGGAGTGCTAAAACATTTTTGAGAGGAGATGTAATACTCTGTTGAAAATGTGTGGAGATCTTGGGACAACCACAGTGACAGTTGAACACATTAGAAGCTAAAGCAATGTGTTCCTTTAAGTTGGGCTTTTTCAGTTTTATTCAATAGTGGGACTAGATTTATTACTTTTTTTATATTTGCATTTTCCACTCATGGAATTCTGTGATTTGCATGGTTCTTAATGCTAAAAATATCAGCCAAAAGGATACAGGCGTTTTAGAATACGCAAATCTAGGAAAAGCTAATAGAATTAGAAAACTAAACTGGGCACTGGAGCTGATGGTATTTATGTATGTATATGTGTGTGTATGTATAAATTACTCCTATCCCCACTCCCTCGTTTTCAGCAGCTGACTGGATGGCTTCTCCTATGGTACTTGTGTTCTGTACTCCTGATGTGAAAAGCCCTTCCGGAGCAAAGAGTACGGCCTTAGCAAGGTCACCAGAGACAAACGAACTGCCTCCTCCCAGCCACGCAGGAACGCCAGGGTTTCCAGATTTTGAAACAAGATGGCTAAAAACAGAAGCTAAGGTAGTGTGTAGCAATTCTGTACATTTGCACACGCTTTTTTTACCATAAGCAGTTTCTCAAATGTGAGTTTAGGATTCCTTTCCAGGACTACTTTCCTTACATTATTGTAGATCTTTCTAATGGTAATTTTGTAAGAACTTTTATTAAATACCAAAGATAAGTAAATGAACTGAAAGCATTTTGTACTTCTTTTGCAGCAGGTAAAGCAGGGGGAGAAGGTTGAGTCAGTGACAAAGAATGATGCAACAGATAAACAACACACAGAAGATAAATTTTCCTTTGCTGTGAGCTCTGATGAGTATCTTAAACATTTTGGAGACCCTTCTCCTCCCAAAATAAAACACTATGACCAGTTACTCAATACTCCTCCACCTCCAGAAATAACAAGGATACCAGATGATGTTCTACAGGTTAGCTAATATAATTTTTTTGGTCTAGTTTTCATACCAAAATAGTAAAATTAAAAGGGCTTTGTTCTGTCAAATTTTGTTCTTCAGAAAGAAAGTTCTCTGCTACTTATTAAAAATAGTTAAACTGCAATCCTGTTTTGAGTTCTTAGATAATTCTTTTTATTACCTTTTAATTTCCTGTAGATTCTGTCCAGGTATAATTATAAGGAAGACTCTTCTAAAGCTAAGGACATGGACACCAAGGCAGGAAGTGCTACAAAATGTGAAAGTGGTTTCACCGATTACCGCAACAAGGAAAACAGGTATGATCACAAACTTGGTTAAGTAACTTAATGTGGAGGAGCTATGGAGATGTTTTAATGCATTTAGAAATTCATGCAGCTCCTTGCTCTTCAGCTAATAAAATGGCTGTTATTGCTCTGACTAAATAACTATTCTTTGGGAAGGTATCTGACTGCCTTTATTGCAGAGTACAGATATTATGATTGATTGCGTGTTTGCATCCTCTCAACTTTAAAAAAAAATTAATAAATTAAGGTAGAATTTTACTGGTTTATCCATAGGTATATTTTGCTTCATGGCAATCAAATCACCAGTGGATGCTTTCTTCTAAGTAAATTTAGGCTATAAAACTAAGGAATTAGAGAAAACTATATAAGTGACACAAGATTTCACAGTCATTGTGGCAAAAACAAAGTTCTGTGAAATGCAAAGCTACCTTATGGACAATGTAAGATGAAATTAGGCTACAGTAAGTATGAGTAATCTTTGAACAATGGAGTAATACCTTTAGAAAGAACTTGATCGATTTGAATAGAAAGAATTTTTTGTGACTACTTGATCAAGTGCAGATATTTCTGATTTGATTAAGTGCATATTACATTTGTTGATTATATCTTAAACTTGGGGTCAGTACAGGCTTCGTAGGTAAGAGGTACAAGGAACACATATGGAGTCAATAATCTCAACAACACAGAATGAGACTGATAAAAGTAGATATCTTAATATCCTTGGTGTTGGAATCCGTCCGAGTAATCAAATGGAACAAAGCTCTTACTTTAGCTGACCCTTCTTTTTTCTTGTCAAGATAGTAAAGTGTTCAATGTTTGTGTCTTCTGCTAATTCAAAATATGATGGAGATAAGTTCATGAACTCTTCTGAATGTATTTGCAGAGTATATCCTGGATTTTTCAAGCCAAACATCTGAAATCAATCTGAAGGCCATGTTGAGACTGATTCGCATTCATGGATCTTATCACCGAAACATAACAAGCTAAAGAAGCGGAAGAAAATACTGGTGGGAGGAAAGAGCCATACAAAGGAAAAGCTCTTTTTAATAGAGAAAAATTAGTTATCCGTGATATGGATAAACTTGTCTGAACTAACAACTTGTCCCAATTCTTTTCCTTGAAATTATTGGCAAAATATATTGAGGGGTTTTATATATATGTATATATGTTTCAGAGAGGACTGGGGTCATGTAAGAGTACTTTAGTTGTTCACTTGATTCTCGTGTTTGTGTACACGTGTTTGCAGAAGGCTGTAGAGAAATGTCGTTAGGTTGCAGTAAAGGGGAAATCCAGTATATTGCCCCAGAAAGTGTTTATCTCTGGCTGCGCTAGTGACACTGTGCATTTTTTCAGGGCTGAGTCTGTAGTATAGTACTGCAACAGTTTTGGTATCTTCAACATAAGCATGTCTTTTTTTATTGGAAGAGTAACTCCTGTTAAGACGTGTCAGACGTTCTTGCATCAGGCCTGTTACCTGTCTGTCAACGAGGCATTTCTTATGCTGCTGCTTCTTTCTTATTATAGTGTTCTTCCACTGATATTGTATTAGGTGCTGTATGTCTGTTTTCCTTTTGACGGTCTGACCTCTCTAGCTCTAAAAGGTGACTCTGAATCGAATATGATTTTTTTTTTTTTAAAAGATATTGTGCAATTGGTACTGGTTATGTATATCTTCAACTGCTGGAAATATTTGCTGGCAGACATGTAGGTAACTGTGCTGCTGCCGTGTGCATTCTGTAAGTAGTAGCATTACTTCTAAACATTCCCATCTATCCCTCTAATGGCTGACCACGCTTAAGTTCTCAGAGCTGTTGGGCACTTTCTTGACTTTTTTTTTTAATTTCCCCTACCAGAGATTTTACTTTAGTCCACAAGAAATCCCAGCTACATATCCTTGTTCGGAGCTAGTTTGCCATTTCCGCTGTTGGCTAGTTCTCTTTGTGGCTACAGGACTGTTCTTATCAGCTGTATGTGGTCTTCCTGTTGATGGCTAAAATTCTGTCATTTATATGAGGGCAAGCATGTGACACATGAGAAGGAAGAGACTGTCCCAGGAGGTGGGGAGAAGTGTAGGCTTTTAAGTTCTCAGTATGTGCAAACATCTAATGCTGATGAGAAGTATTTCTCCAGTTACTTAAATAGACTTGTCCTGGCTAAAACCTAGCAAGTAAAGGTGTCTTTTTCCTGCTATTCCAGTCATTCTTCAGGATAAGCATACACCATATTGACTGGAGAAGCTGATTTTCTACTACTTCTGGCCTGAGCACACTGTCACTTTTCTGTGCTATCTTCTGTTTAAAAAATTATATATGTATTATTATGTGTCAGTCTTGGAGCTTGATTAATGCTTTTGAATACTAAATAAATCTGTCTTAGATGCTTGGTGGCTGCTTGGAAAACTAATCATCTGCTGCTATAGAAATACTTGTTCTGTCCAACTTCTTCAGAGAGTGAAGGTCAGACCTGCTTCCAGCTTCCTCATAGACTAAAACCAATTAATGCTGGATACTAGTCATGGAATTTCATGGTCTTAAGAAGTATTCTGCTGTAGAACAAGAATATTTTGGTCATTTTCACCAGGGGTAAGCAGGAGGGGTTTCGCAGCCAGCATTTTCCCTCCACAGCACTTCATGGGAACTTTCTTGCCTGAAGCAAGCCAGATACCCTGAAACAGAACAGGCAGCACTACTGTTCTGGTCCTTGCTGTATTCCCCGTGGTGCCACCACTCCCAACAAACGAAGTTCACAGAAGGGCTTATAATAAATGTCTTTTCCTTCAGCTTGAGAACAGCGCTGCCCTCCTCTCTCCGCCACTAGGGAACCGAGGAGTTGTACCTAGCAGTGCTGGTGTTCTCACCATGAGCCTCTTGCATCGTTCTTCTTGCCTATGCCCCCTGCTACATTTCATAGCTACTTCATTAACTAATACAAAAGGGATTCAATTACTACTTTGAGATACAAGTTATCTTTAAGATGACAATTAAAATCTTAACATTTGGTCTACTCAAGCTGTCATGACATGATGCTGACATGAAACTTTTTGAAATCTAGAGATGGAGTTTTACTAGTTAATTTTGGTTTTACTTGCATTAGGGTAATATTGTAGGCAGGCAAGAATATTGATGTTTGTACTTATGCTCTTCTTTCTTGCAGGACCATTGCCCTGATGTGGATATAATCAAAGCAACAAAACAAAAACTAGTCGTAGTTTGGCATGCTTTACCTTGGAAAACTTTTCAGGTTTCAGCAAGGCCTAAGCAGTAGTTTGAATATTGGGGGTGAGGGAGGGAAAAGTTGGCAGAAATGAAAGCATGAGTAGTGTTAGGTATTGCTCTTTGCTCAAAATAAGCTGGGGAGGGAAAGTTCTGTGTTTTGGTTTTGTCTTTTGGGTTTGTTGTGGTTTGGTTTTCCCCCCCTCCCACTCTGATGGGCTCTCTCAGGCAGGTGGCTGTGTGGCTGACTGGTAAACTGCCCAAGTTCAAATACTGAAACAACCAAGGGTGTGGGTGTGGGGCTGGAGGAGGGTAAAACTGCAGTTTTAAGCCAGTATTTGTTCTGAAGAAAGGCTCCTCCTGCTGTGCGCTAGCTTCTGAGTGGGAATAATGTGAAAGAACTTAAAAGTTACATGTTAGTTTGTTGTGGGATTAATCTATTTATAGCATTGACCTGACAGAAAGTTCAGTTTGAATAGAAAGTAGCTAAATAAGTAGCACAAGCAGTAGTTCTGTGAGGGATAGTTGTCACTAAAAAATAAGCAAAATTGATTTGGAGTGCAGTTCTGTGTTGTGCTTAATTTCATTTAACTGGAGACTGCTTCCACTAGATGCTGTTTCACCAGTTCTTTTGCAGAGACTGCGGGTTGTGCAGTTTTACAGTGGATTTCTTCCATCTGCCAAGCCACTGAAAGGCTAATGAATTCTTTCTCTTCTACACTGAGATTACTGCTGAGGAAGACACAGTCAGCTTCTGCCTGTATGAGCACTAGATCAAATTTAAGGGAAAGGTGAGAACAGGATCACACCTTCTAGCAGCAGACTGCAGTGAGAAAACATTGAACCTAGAGCCAAATTACACTCCAGTATATAGGGACATCTGGGAAGCAACCAAAAAAGCATAGTCTTTAGGGGTTTTTCTATTTTCTGTGGTTCTTAATTTTGAGGTTTTTTGTTTTTCAAAGTATATCAAATGTGTCAGCTAACAAGCTTCTCTCCATAATCCCATTTGTTGTCAAAGGAGCATCTTGATTGTTCTGCCTTGGCAGCACCTAAGGTGGTCAGAACTTTCTTATCTTGGAAATATTTGCTTGAGGTTAAATGCAGATCTCACAGTGAAATTAACCTTCCCAGATGGTTGTCAAGTGAGTAACTGACAGGCATCACGTTTAGTGCCTCCCATTGTGCTTTTATGGATGTGTTTATGAATCACTGGAGCAGTAACTGGAGCCCAGTCTTCCCTCGTTATTTAAAGCATAATGGATGCTTTAAATTTTCTGTAAGAAAAGGGATATTGCTTTAAATTTTCTGTAAGACGTAATACTTGCTTTTTTCCCTGTTGTCATTATTCAAATATTCCAGTATTTGTGGTGTTCGTATGTGCTCCATCATCCATCAACAGCTGAAGCTGATGGTGGAGCTGCTTTGTATTTTGGGAATATTTGTTTCCCTGTGGGACAGTAGTACAGAGATTTTGGCATTTGTAAGGAGCAATGACAACATCCAGTGGCCACACTATGGAATCACATGTATGTTAGCACACAGGAGTACAACTTTCTACCAGGAAGACATCAGTCAATGCTGGCTAAATTATCTATCTACTTTAACAGGAAAGCTCATGCTGTTCTTCTAGTAATACTCACTTCTACAAAGGGACAGTTGACATCATGTTAGGGAGCTGACTAGGTCTGTGAATTTCTTTGATCTTGTCTAATTCAAATCGAAGAGTTTATTGAAAAAAAAACCTTAAAAAAAAAAAAAAAAAGCACAAATGCACACACAGAGGAAATGGTCTGTGGAGGATGTTCTGCTACAGGGGCATTTCTCCTGGGGAGAGACCAAGCAAAGGATAGCTTGCAGAATCTCCAGCAGCAGTTTCAAAATACTTTCATAATTCTTGGCATTATGTACTCTTGGCTTAAAGCCCCGTGGTTATGCTCCCTAATGATTGCTTACGCAACTGTCACAGACCAATCTAAGGCCTTGCTGCGCGGTGCTGCCTTCCCTCTCCTCGAGCTGCGGGTCCCACACCCTTGGTTGCGTCACTGCCATTGTGGCCGCAGGGGAAGCTGTTCCTGCTTGCCCAACCACCAGGAACTAATTGTTGTTTGCCAAGGTTAAGTTGTTCAAGGACTTTGCACGCTGACCTAAATCGCTGCTCACCTGCAAAGGCACTGACGGATGCTGAAGCGAGAAGGGAAAGGGCAGGGAATTGAGCGCCAGGACCTCTCCTCCTTCACTGGCAGTTTAAGCTGCTCAGGGAATTGTACCCCGGCTGCTTTGGTGAGGCTTCCTGAGGCTGTTGTTCCATGAGTGCTTCCATGGCAGCTGAAGCAATTCCTCTTCACCCCAGCACACATCGTTCCTGCTTCTAAGCCCCCTTCCCTGGGACAGCTGCTCGGGTGGCTGTGCATGAATTAGGCTGGAAAGGACCCAGCTACTACAATAAACCTCATTCTTGGAAGAGGGTCCTGTAGGTGCAGAGTGCTGTGGTTTGATCCTGGCCATGGAGACTGTTGTGATGAGGTGCTGGCTGGACTGTATTTCAAACCTTTAGTATTTTTATATGCATGTGCTTCCCTTCTTCCTTTCAAGCATGAGCTTCCTCTCCAGTTCAGTTCTTAAGCCACAGGCAGCAGGAGTGGGGCACGCTTACCAGCTGGCCCCAGGCTGAGCAGGTGGGTAGTGAGGAGTCTTGGTGTAGGACTGCTCTGGGTCTGCTGCTGTTCTTCAAAAGTCCGACCTGCAGCCGCTCTTGGGGCTCTCCCCTCCTGTGTTCTGAAGCCTGGGGTACGTGCCTCGTGGCTTTCAGATAGAAGATCGCAGCAGACTAGAAGTAAAAGGGTCATCTATGCTTGCTCCTATCTCTTGCTCAGCAATGGAGTGCTGGCAGGTCTTTTTACATCTCTCAGAGGTGCACTGAGGACTGGAGGAAAGGGATACTTAGATTCAAAGAGCACGCACAGCATGATTGTCTGGGCTAGGTGATATTTTGGGCCCCTTTTAAAGACTCGCAAGTCTCTTCAAGCCTAGAGACGCTAACTCATGTTTGTCTGAAGCACAGAGTGGGGAATTCATGCCTCAGCCAGCACTAAGAGGAGCTCACCCAGCAGTGCTCTTGAAGCTGTCGCAGTGTTCACTGGATTTTCTTGCTGAGTGTTGAAGAGGTCAAGTGCTTTGGAGCCGGGATGTCTCTACCTGAGGCTGTCAGTTCTGTGAGACAGGAAATACCCCAGTGAGAGTCCCAGACACCCCGTCCCTCTGAACTCAGCCCTTATCTCCAGCACCTTGCCCTGGAATGCCAGCTGGGCACCTCCTCATCCCAGACAGGTCGCTGTGGCTGGGCACAGCTGTGCATGACCTGACATGGGAGTTTTACAATTCACATTCCTCAGGGTCCTGTTTTGTGAGAACTGATGGGTCTTGTTTAACCCAGCTGATCTGCTGTAATGTCTAGACACAAGGGTTGACAACAGCAGCAGGTAATTGGATCCCTTTGGGTTTTGGCAGTATCTTGGCGGTTGCATTAGTTACAGTGCTGTTCTTTAAGCACAACTGTACCTGTTGTCATTCATTTGCACTAACACAACAGGGTTTCTGATACTTTCTCATTTTTCAGTGTTTTCTATCACAAGAGTGAGAATGTGCTGATAATGCTTAATGTTTTCCTGCTGCATCACGGCTGCTTCTGCTTTTGATGAGAGCTGTAAAGCAAAACTTAAGCCCCAACAACTGCTCTGGTCAGACAGTGAATGAGGTGCCAGAAGAGTGTGTCTGGTGCAGCCCAGCTTATTGACAAAGTGTGTGTGTGAGAGTTGTTCTCGCTTATTAACTAGCGAGGGAATTAACCCAGATACCAGTTCCTCCGTGAGAGAGGCAGGCAGCCTCTCCCCAAAGTGCTGCAGAAGAATTTTTGTAAGTGTTGTGGTGCCGTTGCAGAGAGGGCAATGGCTGTTCTTCTGAAGGGGTGGACTGTGAAAACAGAGCCCTTAGTTTTGGTCAGAAGGGGACTATGAAAACAAGAACCCTTAGTTTAAGGCCTAAGCATGCCATTTTTTCCCTCCTGGCCAAAGATGAACAATAGCAGTGATGTTTATGTACAGCATAACAAAGTAATGGTGAAGGCTTCTTGGTGTGAAAAAAATAACATTGTTTCTATACACTTTTTTTTATTTATTAAACTGTGTGTGGAGGGAAAAGCATTAGTTTAGGTGTGTAAAACGAGAGGGGAACAAAACTTAGTTCTAAGAACTAAGCACAGAAACATGAAGCTACATATGTGGGAGCAGAGCAGCCTGCAGTAGCTGCTACGGAGGGTAAAAATGAGAAATCAGGGGAAGTTGCCTCAGTTCTGTAGCTGGGTCCATGTGACTGCTGCACCCCACAGGCAGGATGCAGGGACTGGAGACTGGAATGAGTGGCGCAAGAGTTTGTCCCTGGTTAAAAAAAAAACTGAGCACCTCTAAGGAAGGGCAGGGAGGGGGTGAGGCCTGGAGGCACCCCTGCTAGGGATGTGGGATCCCTGGAGGGGTCTGGGCAGGAGGCAGGAGCTGCCTGGTGGTGGGGTTTAACTCCTAAGAGTCAGGATGCAATTTTTTTCTTTTTAAAAACCTATCATCCTCGTTCTTCACCTTATGCAGCTGGGAGATGAAAAGGGCTTTGGAAGGGTAGGTACTGGTGGAAGTGCAGAAATGAAACAAAGAGCTGAGTCTGTTAGAGCTTTGAGCATCAAAAAAAAAAAAAAGGAGGAAAAAAACACCTCATCCAGCTGTTTTGATGAGAGACAAAACTGGTTACGAAATTGACGCATACAAAGCAAGTCCTATGGACTGACAGATCTGGATGCAGTTTGCTTCCTGCACATATGGGATTGCTCACTGTTGTTGAGTTTTGAGACTGTGTTTTAATTTCCCCAAACAAGTGTTGCATATGTTTTACTCTGTTTAGGCACTGACATCCTTCCTCAGCTTTTTACACTGGCTTTTTTCACACAACCTCCTTACTGAGTAAATTCCCTTCTGTGCAGTGAGAACTCAACAGGTGATAATTTTCACTTACTGTTACACCTCTTGCAACATCTGGATGGTTGTAGCCTGCTGCTATCTGCCTTCACAACTGTTGCTGTATCCTGATGTGTGAGTTCAAAACTGTTGCTGACTGAGTACTGGATTTTGATTGTAGGGAATCCCTAACCCCAACTGCACTGTCATCTCAAGTGTCTTTTCCCATAAAAATAGGTACAGAAAGTTGAACTCTCTTGATCTGTGCATTACTTTCCTGTGTGAAGTGCAAGTGTTTGAAGGCAAATCTCTTTCTTGAGAGGTGTTTTGCCTGAAGCAGCTGAGGAAGGGAGCTGAGGCCGATATTTCTGTGGCAATCATGTGAACTCCACGCCTAAGCAAGTCAAGCTGAAGCATTTGCAACCAAAGCCAGTTCTACATGTTCATTTCCTGGTGATTTTGCTTCATGGACCACCAAATATAAGGCCAGTAGGTGTTCTTCGTTTTCTCGGAGGTGTGCAAAGACCAGCTGCAGGCTGGGCAGGCACAAGCCCTCACTGGGCCACATCTCCCATTCCAGCCACCTCCTAGAGCAGCTGAGTCACAGACACAGGCTCATTTGCTCCTGTTGCCTTATATATTGATGACATTTAATTTTGAGAATTACCCTTAAATACAATTAAAGCAAAAACCAGGACAACAAAGTGAGGAAATGCCCGTATTCCTGTGTACCGCTAATAGCAGGTTTGTCCTTGCCGGGAGACTGTGCAGTTCTGTAATTACACAGTGGTTGCTGTGGGACTCGCCGACGCCCCGGGGCAAGAAGGCCACTTAACAGGGGTCTTCACTTTTCTGTCTGCCTCAGTCTGTAAGGTGCCAAAAAAACAGACGGCTGATCTGACGGTCATGACCCAGCACATAGGCAGCAGGGGACCCAATCCCGACCAAGGTGACGCAGAAGTCACTGAGCCATTACCACATGCAGGCTCCTCACAGCAGCAGCATCTTGGAGAGCCTCCCCTCGCACCAGAGGTGTCTGCCTTCACTCTCGCAAAACATCCCACCTCTGGCCACACTAGACCAGCTCTGCTGCCACTTCCAGGCTCAGCCCTTTATAAAGCAGTATTTATATTTTCTTGAGCACTCCTTAAAAAGGGGTGAGGAGCACTCTTCAAGTCTTAGGGGAAGAAGTGACAAGGATGCATTCATGAAGGCTGAAATCACAACTCCCCAACTTAGAAGCCAGAGAATGGGGACAGAAGAGGATGAACCACGGGCAGAACTGAACCTAAAATCCCCTGGGCTATAGTGTCCCTGGGAGAAAAAATAAATACGTAAGTCATAGCTCCTCAGAGAAGGCATGCTGTGTCCTCCTCAGACAGGAACACTTACTTCAGCCTTAGGCCCCGCGCTGCCAAGGGGTAAGGAGGAAGGCGAAGGCCCTAAAGAGCAGCTACAGCTTCTGCTCTTGCCTTTCAGCGCACGGGGTGCAGCGTCGCTCTCCAGAGGGCCTGGGCAGCAATGGTCAGCCAGCAGCGACATAACCCCAGGACAGCTGGAGCCTGCTGCAAGATCAGAGGCACCTTCGTGTCTCAAGATCTCCCCCTGCAGTGACAAAAGAAAGTGGCAGGCGCTGAGCTATGAGAAACCACAGGCCCCGTCCTCCCGCGTTGTGCTGGTTTGCTAGGAGATGGTTCTCTCTTCTTTCTCCCACTCCTCAAGAAGGTACCAGGCAACATCAGGTATCCACCACACAGACCAGCCTTCCAGGTCCCCCATGGACAAATGAGACCTCTTAGCTACCCCTTTCTCTATTTTGAGATTCTAGAAGCTGCCTGCTGACCACCCCAAACACCCTCCAGCTCCCTTGGCAACCCCTAACACAGAATAGCCTTGAACCTTGATACCTCGATACCTCACAGCTACCGGGCTTTGCCCTGACACCTAAGGGTTACAGCAAATCGAGAAACATGCTCAGTACAACCTGCAAGGATTTGTGAAAAGCCACCTTACTGAGAGCTAAGCAGCAAGAGTCACCCAGCTCAGAACGTCAGTGTAGGGTCCAAAATCATATGTATTCATTAAACGGAGATAACCAAGGGAAAAAGGCTTCCTTGGAGACTCAGAAGCCAAAATTGGGTGTTGCCTTCTTGGTCAGTGTATGCCGACAATATACTGCTTGTGGCTTACCAGCCCAGGAGACATAGGCATGCAGGCCAGCTGCGCCACCCCACAGCTCTGCTTGGCCAAGACCTCGTTGGTCATGGTGAGGACTCTGACGCATACCGCCAGAGCAGAGACCTGCTGCCTCCTCTCTCGGTTCATCTAAACCACAGGCAAGAGCATCTCTGGGCAGAGCACCCACCATGAAGTTTTCACTAGGACACAGTTCTGCCTGCTCCTTAGTCCTAACCTCCACCTGAAAACACCACTTTTCTTCTGGCCAGGTCTCTGCAGATACTCCCATTTTCCCAGCTAGTGGTCTCCAAAGTGGGGTATGCAAGACAAGCCAATCTCCAAAGCAGTACACACACAAGCAGGGTGCAGGAAGTACCACCTTTCTTTTTAATACAGTAGTAAATGTATGCAATTTTGAAATAATTCTGGGGACATATGCTCAAATATTTTTCATTGCACTGTCAATAAAGTAAGTTTGGAGACCACTGTTCTAAGAAAATCAAGGCTTTCAAAAGCAACTTAATGAGTTCCATTTTTAAAAGACACTAGCTCTTCAGAACTCAAGTAAGGCTGACGTTCAAGTGTGCCGATCCACGCGTTCCTGACAAGGCCAGCAGCATGAGCAGCCTGGCACGCACTGGTGTCACAGAGACCACTCCCAGTCCCGAGAGCGGGACAAGATGGAGCACCACTGGAAGCCGCGGCAGTCTGCCCTGGCCCCCCACACTATCCCACAGGACAGGGAGCTTTGCACAGATCATCTTTGCACAGATCATCTTTGCAACACAAAAGAACACATCTTTGTCACAGATCTCTCAAATGTATCAACATCAGTGGGTAGAGTGACACCCAGCTCGTCTGCCTGCAGCCACACCGCTCACCTGCTTATCCCCCCAAACCCAGCCAGCAGCGGTTTAGGTTTAAGAAATGCTCCCGTACAAGGAACCCCCACTAGGTCACCCACCTCTACCCATCAAGCCCCAAAGTTAACAGTTCAAGGTACTGCCCCTCCTTTCAATTTCAACTTTGGCTTAAAAGCTGACTTGCAAATTTCTCTGCAGAAAACCACTTCAATAAAAAACTTAAGAACCACACAAAACAAACACCACAAACATTATCAAAAGATTAATACTATCAATCTTTATTCCAAACAAGACAGAACTACAGAACACCTGTAATCCTTCTGGACGTATTTTATAGAAACCTTGAAACACTGGACACACTGACTTACTGTTTCAACTCTAAAACAATCAGGGATAGGATTATGGCACTGCTAAAGGTAGGTGTTTCTTCTAAACAAATAAAGGTTTAAAAGTTCACTTTAATTTCAGCTCAGCTTTGTTTTCAGGTGTTCTCGCTTAGCAACAAAAGCAAAAAAATAAGCCTGCTTTAGAACAGCAAGTAGGAATAAACAGAAGATGTAATTGTACAAAGAAGCAATAGCTTAGTACGGCCTCATGCGGCTCGACGGGGGTGGTGCACGATTCGGAGGAGTAATTGCTATATCCAAGTAGTCTCCTATCTGGAATTTCTGAGACTGCAATGTCATGGAATCATCCGTGCCCTTCCTGCCCGACATGGTACTGCCAATCTCCTTCACCCTGCAAGCAGGAGAGGAAACAAGTTAGTTATCACAGAATGGCTTAAGTTGGAAGGGACCTTAAAGTTCCAATGCCCCTGTCATGGGCAGGGACACCTCCCACTAGACCAGGTTGCTCAAAGTCCCATTCAGCCTGGCCTTCAGCACTTCCAGGGATGAGGCATCCACAGCTTCCCTGGGCACATCAGAGGCAAATCTTTTTATACGTCCAAAACAGATACTGCATCAGCTCACAACAACCTCTCCAAGCCATCCTCTGCACTGCATCTGGCATTTAGCTTGCATGTAGGATTCTGGGGTTTTTCTCTCCAGTATCAGGTGCACCAAGAAGCGCTACACCAAATCCTCTTTCTGATGGGGCAGTGGGGTGGGGGAACCTTCTACATATTAAGTTAAATACTAGAGAAAATCCCTTTATCCCTTCCACACAGACACAGACCAAGACCCCACGATTCCAGGGCAGGATTCATCCACGGGCTGCTGACAAAGGCCAGCTCATACTGTTCTGGGAGACAATACACCTGCAACAAGACCACTAAACCTCAAATGCATTCTGAGATGCAAGACCTTCCAAGCCTCATATCACCAGAAAAAAAGTTTAATATCAAATTGTGGGACCATGTTCTGGTTGGTTCCCAACACAGTGACCAAAGCCTTCAAGCACCCAGGTTCATGGTTTTGGGAACAAAACAACAATGGTCACCAAGCAAAATTTAAGAGTTTACAGAGGTCATCCTATAGTCTGTTATGAAGAGCTCCAGAAATTTGATATTTACGTTCTAAAGTTTAAGATGAGCATTAATGAAAAATAATTTACTGCACCAGTGCCTGAAGTCTTCTATTAACCCAGAGAAGAAATGCCACTCACCTGTACCCAGGCCTCTTGAGATCTGTAAAAACAATTGCAAAATTGAAGTGTGTGCCTTTCTTCCGTGCTTCTGGGTAAACTTCTTTCACTAAGCTGGTCAGCTCTTTCAGAGTTGCATCCATCCTAGATTCAACAAACCAAAAGAAGTTCAGGTTGTCAAAAGCAACAACAGTAAAAAAAAGCTTCCCAAAACTTATTTAAGATGGAATCAATACATTCAATATTGCCTTCACATACCTTCTGTCAACACCTGAAGATGAATAAGATCTCACATTCTGGCTATACAGTAAGCCACTAATTTCACAACCACATGACATTCCAAATACAATTTCATCTAACAATCAAGGGAGAAGAAGTTGCTCCAGTTATTGATTATAACACCCGGGAGAATCCGCCACTTACTGTACACAGGAGGCAACACAGTCTAGTGCAAATGTAGCTTCTAATTAGCTAGCTAACTAGCTCTCAATTTACTGCAATATTCACCCCCATATGTGTTTTAACACCCGCTTTTCCAGATCTCTCAGAAGAATTACCATTTAAACAGTGGGGGCATATTTTTTCTTTAAATGCATTTATATAAAAACAGTATGAAGTTTCCTTACCTAAGCCAACATCTATGTTAAAACAGTGAATATTACAATTGTAAAAGGAAATGTAAGAAAATGAGGGAAAATTTATTAGCAAGTTCTCCATTTCCATTAAGATTTCCATTTCTGCCCTAACAGGCAGCACTCCCCCTTTTCCCAGCCTTCATCCAGACCAAGGCTAAAGCTCATTTCTAGAATTTCAAGAGCAACAAGACTCAATCATCACAACTAAAACGGCTCCTATTACACAGAATGTACACTCGCTCTGAGCTTCAAGCACTCAAGGAACCGTGTGTTGACAGACAATGCCCATTCTGACTCCTGCAGATGGCAAACAGCTCAGACACCATCAACAGCCTGGACTGAGTCCATAAATCCCATTATGAAGTGAATTAGAACTGCATGCTTTGCTACCCACAAAAATGGATTTATTCAACCATACAACACATCTCCAACGCCGACTGAAGCAGTTCTCTAAACCGAGTGTGAGAGCAATAAAAAGCAGCTCTGTCAGCTCTGACCATACAAAACGAAACACACTCGTTGACTCTCGAGCAGCTCTGACTTAAACCAACATACCACTCGCACAACAGCTCAAGCTGTCCAGGACAACAACCTCTACTGAAAAAACAGCACTACTGGAACTAAGGCTTTAGCATTAGTTAAAAACCGCTGTTCTTAACAGAGCTGTGCTGAACAGCTTCATCCTGATAACGAGGTACACCGCAACAGGAGCCTCTGACTCGACGCCTCAGTAATGGGGCAATTGAACCGCCCCGGGGTTCAGCGTGCGGCGACCAGCGCGGCTGCAGCTGCGCTTCCCGCTC